AAATAAGTCTTTCCTTTGAAAATAAGACCTAGCCAGAAAAAAATCAGCCTGGAAAACTAGAGATCAAAACTTCATCATACTCTCTTGCTCAGTGGCTACTGGGTAAGGCACGTAAGGCAAAGATAGGCTGATTGGGGCTGGCATTTTTGATCTCTAATTTTCAAGGCTGATTATTTTCCAGCTGGGTCTTCTTTCTGGAGAAACACATTAGTTCAGCATTCCCTGGGTTCAATCCCTGGTACCAAAAAAAAAAGTGGGGCACATGAGCAATTAGGAGAAGAAAAGTAGCTCATGATATCAGTGATGAGGACAGGAAAAAAAAGGCAAAGGTTCTTAACTCTTAAGAGTTCTACAGTTCGGGTATATAAAAAGTAAACACATCCACATAACCCATGGGTTCACAAAGAGGACAGCAATCAGCACCTAGTCACTACTGCAGCACATACATAGGAGAAATGTAACCAGAAAAGAAAAAGAATCAACTGGGCAGCTAAAACACTACGGTTCGGCTTTATGATGAAATGAGTCTGCTTTATGATGAGATGAGTCTTACGGCTTAAAGAGAAGGTCCATAAAAAAAGAATGAAGATGTTTAAAAGAAAAAGGGAAAGTGTAGAAACCAAAGTTCTAAGGGAAGAGGCAAGGAATAGGTTTCAAAGTAAAATAAGTAAGCTTTAGGGACAAAAAACTTTTCCAGCTCAAGTAAAAGACAGTTAAATGACATATTGAGGCAGTGGTATGCTTAGGTTAAAATAAAAGACTTGTATTAGATTCAAACTTTTCAGTCAAAGATGAAGTACGGAAACAAAAGTAGTAAGAGAAATTATACGCAGTAAACCTCATCTAAAATAAGACATTAATAAAAGGTCAACTCTGAATTATTCTAGTCTCTTTCTAACAGTACTGTGCTTATGAACAAGAAATAGATTAGATATTAGCCTGAAGAATTAGTGAGATGTAGGCTGGGTTTGTAGCTCAGTGGTAGAGCCCTTGCCTAGCATGCACAGGACCCTGGGCTCAACTGCTCAGCATAACACACACACACACACACACACACACACACACACACAAGGAATTCATGAGAACAACAGAAGATCAGGGAAATGTATCTGCCCAAAGACACAAAATAGGCCACACTGAAGCAGTTAATAACACAGGGAAGAATGAAGTGAACAAGCAGATTGTGCAGTCTGAAAGACCAGATCTATGCAGCCAGTGTCACCAACAAACACAAGACTGAAAGCAACTGAGGTGTTAAATAAGCCTATCTCCAAGAATTCTTACTGATGTAATATTTTCCTCAGAAATAAAGATCTGACAAAAACCCTCCATTAAATTCTGCTTCTTAGAATGATACCAGCTGACAAATGAAAGACAATGAAAGCAATATAATTTCAGACTGTTTATTTATTTATTTTTTGTCTTTTTGAGCGATGGTCTCGCTATGCAATTCAGGCTGGCCTTGAGCTCACTTTGTAGCCCAGGCTGGCCTCAAACTCACAATGATCCTCCTGCCTCAGCTTCCTCAGTGCTGGGATTACAGGTGTGCGCCACCACACCCAGCTTGGACCGTTAATTAAGCAGCACTGTTCAAAAACCTAGATGTACCATGAAAAATGTGCTGTAGAAATCACAGTCAAATAAAAAGTATAATATCTAAAATCAGAAGACTAGGGTTTAATCTCAACTTACACAAATAATACCACCCTTTCTAGCCCTTAATTCTCCATCAAGAAAACGGCAGTAATAATAATAGCAAATTAAAAGAAGTGACAACAGCAGTTAGCTAAGGTTTTTCATGCTTTTCATGCTTTCATGCTAACATTTTAGCAGTTAGCTAATGTTCCATGTACAGATGTATTTCACATGTATTAACTCATCTAATATTTACATTAATTTTAGGGAGGGTTTTATCCCCACTTTTCTTATGAGAAAACAAAGACACAATTTAAGTCAGCTGCTCAGAATTTCAGCTATTATGTAGTATTGGTGAAATTCAGCCTGTGCATTCTGACCCTGGAGCTTATGTATATTTACTATATTCTCCTGCCTGTGGGGAAAATGTGCTTTAAGCATGCACACATGCTCATCCTCTTGCTGAATATCAAGTGGCAAGACACAATAATCCACAAAAAATCCTAAATCATTCATCTACAAATATTCAAATATATGGACCCACAAATATATGGACCTTGTCCTCAAAAATCAGAGTGAACAGATATGTAAGAAGCAATTACGTGATATGAACAAAATATACATGCTGCTTTCTCCGTGAGCAGAGGTAGGCAGTATGATGAGTGAGACATGAATAAAGAGCTTTCAGAAATCACCAAATCAGTCAAAAAGATAACAGCACTAAATGCAAAGGGCTTAAAAAACTGAGCCAGAAAAAGAGATCAATATAATTCTTTTTAAAGTAAAGCTTTCTGAACAGTCATGAAGCTTAAAAAAAAGATTTCAGACAGTAACAGGCTTTTCAGAGAGCAACAAATTTCATATATTTCACATCACAGAAAATTGTCTTTTCCAAGAAGTTTCCTTTTTTTTTCGGTGGTGCTGGCGATTGAACCCAGGGCTTTGTGCATGCAAGGCAAGAGCCCTACCACTGAGCCACATCCTCAGCCCTCTCTAAACCACATTCTAACTATAAAAAAGTTGCTATTTACTAAACACTCTTGATATACAAAACACTGTTGTACGCAATTTAGAGGTATTGACTTCTTTACTCCTCACAAGAACTCGAGGTTGCCGGGGATACAGCTCGGTGGTACAAGCGCCTGCCTGGCAACGAGGTAAGTCGTACTACTACCCTCACTTTTGGACAGGGAAATGAGGCAAAGTGGGGGAAAGCAACTCGCCAAAATTGACCCCAAGGGTAGCAGCGCCAGGCTGTCAAGCCGTTTACCTCCAGGGTTTGTGCTATGCTTCATCTAGTAGGAAACTGAGAAGCAAAACAAGAACTGATTCAGACAATTAATCAATTGTATTTGGTAATAGGAAGGAAAGTACTTTTATCCTTGTAAGTATTTAATAACTACTGTATCTGGAGCAGTTCTGTCCCTGTCTCACCCTCCAAGTTCAGTCTGCACGTTCTCCCTGGACAACCCTCAGCTCCCCTGGCTCCAATTACAATCTACTTGCTGCTGACGCCCAAATCTGAATCTCTAGCCCCGTCTCTGTTTGGGGCCTTAAATTTACTGCAGTAACCAAACAGATGATTTTTTTTCAAGTGGTTCCTAAGCCCCTCAAAATGAGCACGTGCAAAGCGGACTCATTTCCCTCCCAGCTCATTTCTCACTCTCAAACTCTGCCTGCCTCCTCACCTGCCTGCCTTACCTTCCACAGCCAACCATGTCCACTTCAAGTCTCCCAATCAGCGCAGAGCTCTGCCTTCATCTCATACCCTCCTAAGGCTATCTGCACGTGCACTTCGGTCTATCTCGCACAACTAATTATCCTTTTTCCTTTTTTCTTGTGGTTGGTCCCATCTGATGCCGAACTCCATCAGTGGAGAACACTGTATAGACTGCATCTGTCGTGTGGACTTAAATAGCACCATGTGTTCAGAGGTAAACTGGCTCCAGTAAAGGGAAATTAGTATCAAAAATGTGTCAATATATCACTTTAAAATGGCATTACCTCAGAAAACCCCGTTACTTTACAACAGAAGAAAAGCAGTAAGGTCCTATCCCAACTCTCTCCGTTCTACTAATTATTACAAGCGTTCGTGACAGCTAGGGTCACTTTATACAAATTAGGTGACACTACGGCTGGGTACTGCTATATCCCATTTTTAGGTAAGGGACCCAACAAAAGGGAATTTCAACAACTTGCTCAAGGCGCCAAGTTAGAAAACAACATAATTTAAGTTCAAACCATCGTTTAACATAGCCTTTGCTCTCTACTGGCTCTAAGAAGATGTTTTAAAAGTCAAAAAGAAACAAAGACACAAAGCTTTTATCAAAGAGATGTTAGTTTTAAACCAACAAGGTGTGAAAAGAGTGAAAACACTGCGGCGGGGGCGTCTACAAACCGAAAAGATTCATAACCACCGAAACACAGTCGCTTTAACACACATGTGTTTCATTTGAGTATTTTCCTTCTTAGGAGAGCACAACTGGAAGAAGCAGGGTTCAGCCGAGCCAGAACCGTCCTTTCACTCAAGCACCACCACATTCCGCCGCCCCTCCGCGAGCTCTGCCGCGGCGCGACGAGGGGCTCCCGCCCGCGCGCCCGACCAGCCCGGGGGGCTCGGCCCCC